TAGTGAAATTAATTTTCAAACCAATGAATTTAATTTCAAATTATGCACATTCAGATTCAATCTGAGCAATTCAAATTCAGTTCCTGCTGGCACAAGATTTATCCCATACAACGGTATCAAGTTTATAAACTTGTGTCATCTGGACTTTACTGTAGGCGTGCAGGAGAAGCTGGGTGTCATGAACAAGGGAACTGTGTATGCTCTGTGGGACTACGAAACCCAGAATCCAGATGAGCTGTCGTTTAAAGAGGGGGACGCCATCACCGTTCTGCGGCGCCAGGACGAGAACGAGACGGATTGGTGGTGGGCACGACTCGAGGACAAAGAGGGCTACGTGCCCCGCAACCTGCTGGGGGTAACGGCAAACACATTGTGTCTGATTTATTAGATTTAATCTCATTGCAGGTTTCTTTGTCATGTTTAGATCTGTTTGTTCTGATGAATCAAATTTAAATTGCTTGAATTTAAAAGTTAGTAATTACTTGAAACAAATCATTCAGCATATTGATTGTGTTGTACTGTTTGTGTTTATCTTTGCAGCTCTATCCTAGAATCAAACCTCGTCAGCGCTCCCTGGCGTAGTGTCTGGATCCGCTGAGCCGTGTCCAACACCTGGACCGGCGAAACACCCGAGAGCAGAGAACAGAGGAGCCCGGTGCTCCAACTTCTCCCTGTGGCCATAAACCTCTCCCAGCCTTGTGCTTCGACAAAACCCTCCTCTCTGAAGCAGAGGGCACTAAGCTCTGCATATACTCACATCTGCACACACAAAGGCAGAAGCAAGCACTCCCAAAAGTCTCTTAAACGCCTCCATCCCTGCTGCCCCTCGTCACACTTGCACCTCCGTCACTGTCCTGACACACGTCACTTTCAATCAAACACTTTCCTCTCAGTATTTCTTGCTTTGTTCGCACTTCAGCCATCTCCCTAATGAGGTCTGTGGTGGCACCAGTTTACACGATACTAATAACTGGAATTTCATCTTTATGGGTTAAAAGTTGCTGATTTTTATCAGTGAATTTTAATTTGATCTGTCAGATGTATTTTAAGGCCAAATTTGCTCGTCTTGTAGACTTTAGCAGAGACAATTGATTCTAGACTACCCACCAAAGAGAAGTATCAGTTTAACACTTTTATTCCTGCTGGTCCCTAAAAAGCCCAAGGAAATGTTGAAGAGTGAGATGATGGTTAGTTTGCTGCTGCAGCTCCCAAGAGTTCCTTGTTCTTATAAAGCAAAAGTAAAATCCAAGTAAATCCTCAGTATTACTCATGCAGGCTAGTTGACGGAATTCCAGTTTATTCAAGAAATTGCGAGCTCACATATTGTCATGAATTGCATAAACATCCATGCCTTCTCCCCTTCTCCTCCCCAAAGTTTACTGTCTTCTGTTTAGAATTTAAATGCAGGATTATTGTGGATATGTGGCAAGAACACTAATAAATTATAATTGAGCCTTTGGAAATAATCTTTCCTGTGTTACGTGATTTTTTTTCAGTGTGAAACAATGGTTTAATTGAGGCAGTAATTTTTATTGCGTCTGAAATCTGCACGTTGAATATTATTTCTAAATGTCAGGGAAGTTTTGCACTTTACCACACCACAGAAATATAACACAGATAATTGATTGAATCAGCACAAGTGAGCCATTCTTATAATTAGTTCAGACTTTTATTTGAATTTTCATCGAATTTTTTAGGATCAATATGGCTAATCTATATATAAAAAAATCCACTCAAGTTTTACACTGAATTGATTTTGAGGAGATAAATCCATGGGACACAGATCTTAAACTTTAAAGTCATAGGGTAAGTACAACGTAAAGTATATATAAAGATGTATATATTTATATATATATTTTATTTATGGAGCTTTAAGTGGTCTGGGACAATTGTTTCGACCATTGTGGATATGGCCACAAATATCAGGGATTATAGATACTTGAATATTTTGTATGTTTTAAACAGAATAGGTTTAGGTGTGAAACAATTGTTTAAATGTATTGTCTTTTTATTTATAGCGAGTCGAAGGGTTTTCTCATCCTAAGAATTTCATTGCATTGTTGACTCGTTAACCTGCATATGGCAATAAATGAATCCTGAAACAAGGCAGTAATTTTTATAGGTTTACTCTAAAAGAATTAATTTATTGACTTAAAAGTGTGGGATTTTGTCAGTTTTTAACTTAAAAAAAATCCAAGAAATTGGTACATTTTTATTACATGAAAGAATACATCTTACAAAAAAAGAAAATAAAAAAATTGCAATACTTGACATGATTCAAGAAAATGATCAACTCTTTTGTTTGCTGTTTTGAACATCTGGCAGTTTTAGATCACAAAATAAGACAGACACGACATGAGCCTATGCTGGTTTATTTTAGAAAACTGATTTGAGGAACCAGGAGAAGTTGAGCCTTTCTAATTTTTAAATCACATAATGACCCTGTGACCCTGAAAGGAAGAAACAGATTAAGATAATGGATGGTTGGATTTTGTTATTAATGTAAAAGCTATGTGGATGTTTTTACATTGAAACATTTCTGATGGTAGCTTTTCTAAGTGATCAAAGAAAAAGATGCTGCAGAAAAATCCACTCTGGTGCAGGACAGACTGCAGACAGGTGTGTTACATAAAGTTTCTTATTTATAAAAATGTGTTAGAAAAATATTGGGATCCAAGTATTTTCAACTCCGATTCATGTGTAGTTTTAGTTTGTGCCACCAGAAGGCAACAAATCACTGATCATGTCTTAACAGCTTTTTTAAAGAGTTTTGTGTTTATGCAGATATCGCTCAGATCTTAAATTTCACATTTTCAAATTTTCATTTAATAAGGTTTTCCTATAAAAATTTAATTTACAGGTTTATTATTTTCTGATACTCTTAATATGTTTAGCAGTTTTTTTTAAAGATATTTAACTATAAATAAAAACTGTTTACCTCAAAGTTCTCAAACTGCAGTCATGTGGAAGTTTTGCTTTTCAGTTTTTAAAAAAGGTCTTGGTATACAAAATTAATCTTTTTGGTCTTTTGAACATGTTTTTTTTTTTCTTCCAAAAAGTAACCACTTGCAAAGACCTCCCAAATTAAACATAAATGTGTTTTTTTGACAGTGAAGACTATAGAAGTTCATGCAACTCAAAAAAATTTAACAAGCTGACTGTTTAAACCAAGTTATTGAACAAAACATGGGTTTTGACAGAAAAATAAAGTTAAAAATAATATTTGATACTTGGCTTTTACTGTCATTGATGTGTTTGAGAAAAAAATACATGCACAATTTAAATCAAATTTACTGTAGAATTTGACCTAAAACTAAATACTATTAAAATTAACGGGAAATGACTGGTCAAAATGATTTCACTGGTAAGAAAAATACCTACTTTTATTGCTGATTAATCTATTTCTTTTTTGATAGTTTCTCACGAAAAATAATTTAACAAGTAAATGTTTACACTGAGTTTTTACAGCCAATTATTGTATTTTGTCAGGGTTTGTAACAATAAAAATAAGTTATGAGCAAAACTACAACATCCACAATGCTCCGACAAAAACACTGAACTGCGCATGCGCACTACCTGTTCGAGTAAAGCTATGATCTCACGCGCAGCCCGTCCCTGGACCAACCAGTCGATTGAACCGTCTGAACTTCGGTCTCACCTGATGAACCTACAGTAATGGTTTAGCAGGAAACATGCTCGACGTGACCAAGTAAGTAAAGCTGACTGAACGACTGAAACTCTTTCCCCCCCCGAGCAGCGGAACAGAACTCCGGTGAGTTCTGCGAGCCGGACCGGGTCGTTCGGTTGCGGTATTGTTGGTGACCTCCGCGCCGGTGTGGACGCTCAAAACAATGTAACAACCACCAGTTAATGTTTGAGGTATTTGTGCTGTTTTTTAATTACAAGTGCCGTTTTTCCCCCTCACGAATTCTCTACTTTGTGTTGACCGTAGTCCGGAGTTGACCCGGTCCGGACAGGTATGGAGGGTCACTGGTTGGATATCATTTGCATGTATTTTGCAAACTGCTTTTGTTTGGTGGTTTCTTTCTGTGAGTTAGACATGTTTGTTCGAGCTGTCGTGTTAAAAACTGGTCTACAAATATCTCAAATGTCCTAAAAGTCGCATAAGACCATGTAGAAAAAAAAAACATTGACAGTGTTGAAGAAATGTTATTTATATTTAATTCTTAACTTTTAAATATTACACTCTGCCAGGAGGCTTGTAGTCTTTGTATCACATTTAATTGTAACCTTACTGTACAATTACTCCAAAACTAGTTTTAGAGTGTATAAATATGCACTTGTATTTAGTACACTAGTTTTCACTTTGCAATAATATAATCTTACTGATTTTTTATTTATTTATGCATAACTGTTTTTCTAAAACCATTGATTTCAACTTTAAATGATAGTCTTAAAATATTAATTTGCTTAAAAGAACATAAAAAAGACAACATAAAGTGCACCTTTGTAAAGCATTAAATTTTCTTGTTTTTTATCAGCTGACTCGTGAATTTTCTGATAAAAACTGCTTTATTCTGCATGCTGCTCAACTTATGAGATAATAGGATTCACTTCTACTAAGCAGAATAAATCATTTCAGGTAGTCGTTGAATTACGCTCAAAGTCCACAACTGTTATTTGTAATCTTAAATCCTGCTGAAGACTTATCAGAGGAAAGAAAAAAAAAGGCGTACATTCCACAGATTTAAATGCTCCACATCACTGTGGGGCTTGTGTGTGCTTGTAATTTCTGCTGCCCAGAAGGATTACAGCTGTGGCGGGATCTGCAGTCGTGTTTTTACTGTAAACACGGGAGAGTCCTGACATGATGCTGTTGTTTTTGTCCACAGCGTTAATTCTCAGACAGGGAGGTGTCCAGCACCGTCAGGTCTGGACGTTGAATTCCATGTATGATTAGTCTGTTGTAACTCCAAGCTTCTCCCAATCAGCTAAGCTGTTTTGTTGGAGCCTGAATGTTTACTCACAAGGTATTATTAACTTTTTTACCCTTTTTTTATAATGAACTTTTGTCTTTAAGTGTTTAGATGACTTATTCTGTTTGCTAAATGCTGTTGAATTTAGTGGCCACAGGGTTTAAATGGGTGTGTTTTTCTGTCTAGTGCTTTATATTTTTCTGCTTGTCTCTACACAAAAAAAAAAAACAATGCTGTATTGTTTATTTTGTTAGTTGCTGTCAGCTGATTTGCCCATTAACGTTTAGCAATAGCGGGCACATCAAGTGACGCCTTATGGCATTGCTTCCTCTACGGAAGTGCACCCTTTCACCACAGTAACGGCCATATTGGGGATTAGTTGTTAATTTTTTTTCTCTTCTTCCTCACACAAAGTCAGTTATGCCTGTATAACAGTCTCTGACACATCCAGACCAGGAGTGTCAAACTTAGTTAGCACAAGGGAGCCAAAATTAATAACTTTGCCAAGCCAAGGGCCAATATTTTTATTGAAAAATTAATATTATTATTGTTTAAAATGTAATCGAGAAATCATAATTGTAGAAACACAAATGACAAATGGAGTTTGATCAGGTTCATTTTGCTGTTCTCTGCTTGTTCCACGCCAAAATCAAAGATCACTGAAAGATTCCAACTTAGATTTATAGGCTTTAAAGTTAGATCTGTTGTGAGAAAAAATGCACTAAGTACAACAAGCTTCTTTTTTTTTAAAGAAAATCATTTGTACAGTGGGGAAAATAAGTATTTAGTCAGTCACCAATTGTGCAAGTTCTCCCACTTAAAAAGATGAGAGAGGCCTGTAATTGACATCATAGGTAG